TTTACGCCACCTGACTTTTCCCTGTTAGAAAAGGGAAGGTTGTAGAGGAGAAAGAATTAAAGAGCACGCGCCTCGCGCTTCGCGTTCCGCTGGAGATTCTATGAAACAGTTTTTACGAGGTAGTCATAAAAAAAAACGCATTTTATTTGCTGACAGTAAGCGCTCCGAAGAAAAATACTGTAGACCTTTTTCTTTGCAAACGCCAGCAGGCTGTGCTCCAGTCTTTGACGCCAGAGCAAACTTCGGTTTCATAAAAATAATGAACAAAGTCCACTTCAACACCGCTGCTTGAAACGTCGATTGAACATTTAGCCGCCAATAGACCTATCTCACCAAACGTTCCGCGCATGCGTGAAGCAGCCATAGCTTTAGTTCAGAGTGAGGTCACTGGATCCTGGGAAAATAGCGCCCTTGTCTTACCTACCTACTAGCCGGACACAAATGGGGGGTTGTGGGGATATTTATACAGCGTATAGTTGGTCAGCCATTAAAGTTGCGACGAGTCACACGCTGTAGATGAGCAATTTAGCCAGTGCAGTAGAACCGCTAGCCTGGGGTCTTTAACGTGCACCACGCAGTAGTGATACACGTCCGCACGCCGGTACGATGCTCACCCAGATCGAAACGGGCAGGGGTGGGGCTCGAACCCAGGATCCCTGGGTTCTGCAGCGCGAGCTTTCGCTCCACGCGCATCGAGCTTGGTGTGCGCTTTGGCCCACTCGGCCACCGATCCCCCCCCCAGCCGGACACAAACGGATACTTACAGGTGACCAAACCTCGCAAGGCGATTGGCTAATCTTTATGGAACCAGTCGCACCAAGATCACTATGGAGCATCATCGTACTGGAAGCGTTTCTCGCCAATATAAGCGCCTTTGGCACAGTGTATGCAATCAACTTATCAATCATGTCAATCTCCACGGATCTCTTACAATTATATTGTTCTTGTAGCGTATTTGAAAACAGTAGATTTCTTTTTCAGTGCCTCCAAGCAGCGATACAGCATGTGGTGGTGGTACGAAGATGTACACTTATTTCACCGGTGTCTGGATAGAGAAATTTTGGTATACAAGAAACGTCTCCATAAAGCTACTCGTCACCAGCGAATTTAGATCGGCTCACCAAGAACGGAGGTGTCAAGGAGAAATTTCTCATTTCACGGACCAAGATGGCGACCATACGGGGAGCTTGGCACTACTTTCCCAAGATCCAGTGACTTGAGTTCAGAGGAGGCAGGCAAGAGTCCACGAGACGGCTCGGACCGTTCTGTGGTCTATACACACGCAGAGCCCCAGCGAGGCTGTCGCACACGCAGAAAGAGTAAACTTCCCTCGATGCATTGCGACAGCGGTGGCGTAGTCAAAATGGCTGGTGAGATCGGTCAATTCTCCAGGTGATTGCCAAAAAAAAAACCAAAGAGCGCGAAATCTATCTGTTAATTATTTTTTTCAATATTCTTGTAACTAACTTGCCTTTTCCAAGACATTAAATCGTACAACCAACGGCCCTTGTTAAATCTCCAACCTTGTTGTCTGTGTAGCATTTATGCTTTCTAGCACTGATGACATAACCAAACTCGACGGGCTTGCAAAGACTGAGCGACCCAAGCTACCAGAAGTCGCTTGGGACTCAAGCAGCGGTTTAAGTAAGGTGTCGCCGTAGTGGATGCCAAAACATTTTGTCGGGAAACGCTCTTTCACACGCTCCTGAGAAAAAAGGAAACAAAGGCGTCGCGACCGGAAACAAAAAGAATGTCGCCGCCCTAAGCAAACGCAGGTGAGGACATCATAATGGCAGCCAGTGTGAATAGTTACAACGAGTTAAGACTAAAGCGTACTATATTCGGATACAAGTAAAGAATCCACCAAATAAATATCACTGCGCACCAACCACGGCATTGAATTACTCCGCGGGCCAACCACGAAATACAGGAGCCATCACGATATAGGTGCGGTGTGGGCCAGTGTTGCGGAGTTGAAACTCCGGAGTTGGAATGATTCCGGAATCATTCCGCACTTTCGCGAAGCGCAACGTGGGAGAGGTGCAGCTCGTCGAAGTGCTTCTTCAGCTTTGTGAATTCTGACCCAATGGGAAAAACTCTGAAATCTTGGCGTACTGCATTGTACAACTCGAGGAGTAGTGACAAAGAAAACTATGTAAAAGTTTATATATATATATATATATATATATATATATATATATATATACCGGGTGATTCAAGGAGACGGCAGGCTCTTTAAATTGACCGGAAAATTCGGTTTCTGAACCTATCGCGCTACGACCTTGTGCAGCGTTGCCCACGTTGCCCACAGATGGTGTTTTTGTTTTTTTGTTTTTTTTTAATTTGCAAAGAGCGAACTTACCTGAGGAAAAAGTAAAGAAAGAAAAAGGCTTAGCTCCCATGGAAACGACACCGGTCTGCGAACAACACGGCGCCGTTTCGCACGGGAGACAAGAGATGGCGCAAGCGCTCGCGACGCCAACTGCCGCCAACGAACGAGCAGACGACGCCGAGAGCCGGCGTATTTAGCAGACAAGCAAGTGCAGTTCCTTGTTGTTACCAATATTGTTTCTGCGACTGTCGCCGCCCGCGGAACGCGCTCCGCTTTTGAGTCGAAAAGATAATCTGCTAAAGACGCTGGCTCTCGGCGCTGTATTACAGTGGCTTAAAGGGGGTAGTGTAACGAACGAAACCGGAGAAGCGGCACAGCGTTGGAAGACGGCCGCACGTGGCGCTGGCGCTTGCAGCACTGTCGTTCCGGCTATTCGCGACTCCAACTAACTATAGGTGGCGCCACTCACTTTCCAAAATGTGTGCCGGCTGTTGAGCCTGTCTAGTGTGCTGGCTTGACTGAGCGACACAGATAATTTCTGGTAATACGAGGGAGCTAGGGTGTTATGGGCGCAGGTCACCTCTTTATCCTGAAAACAAAAACGGTGTTTAGCATAATATTTACGCAAGGATGCGCGTTTTAATTCTGAAGCGAAACCGAAACTGATCTTTATTTTGGATTTAATTTCTGGTAATACGTGGGAGCTAGGGTGTTATGGGCGCAGGTCACCTCTTTACCCCGAAAACAAAAACGGTGTTTAGCATAATATTTACGCAAGGATGCGCGTTTTAATTCTGAAGCGAAACCGAAACTGATCTTTATTTTGGATTTAATTTCTCGGTATAGGTTTTAATTTCGGATTCTTTCATACCTCAACATGTGTCTCACATCGTAATTATTTAGTTAAAGAAGTTGTTGGCCGAAACGTTATTTTGTGCCATACATGTTTCCATCCAGGCTGTTATTTGTAGTTGTTGAAAAAATCAGCGATGATATTTGTGCAAACAAATAGTCAGAGTGCAGGCGAGCTGGTGTAAGTTGAACATGATTGTAAACCTGAGACTGGGGCAGGAAGAGAACACAACAGAAGGAAGTAAAAGAGGAGGCAACGTCTCAAACTCAGCTGCAAAGTTTATTTCAAACACGCTTTATATACCCCGTCTCCAACGCCGTCTCTACAAAAAAAAAAAAAAAAAAACACACATGACAAGAGGACAATGACACTTCGGTAAACCTTCTCTTATCTCTCTTGACCTTGGCTGTGGGACACTCACACAAAGGGACACATTCTAGCATAACCTGGTCTCGAAATAGCAACAAATGATAGTGAGAAAATTGTAAGGGTGCAGGCGAGCTGGTGGAAGTTAACCATAGTTTTGTTTAACCCGAGACTGGTGTATTTCGGAAAAGGGACGAGAAGAAAAGAGGCCACAAGGAGGCGACGTCTCAAACACAGCTAAGGATTTTATTCCATCGTATGCACTTTTGTGCATACGATGGAATAAAATCCTTAGCTGTGTTTGAGACGTCGCCTCCTTGTGGCCTCTTTTCTTCTCGTCCCTTTTCCGAAATACCCCAGTCTCGGGTTAAACAAAACTATGGTCAACAAATGATGTCAGAAAGGCCGGAATGTCATGCTGTCGGTTATCGCGATTTTGACGGTTGGACTCAGAACTATTGGCAAAAAAGGTACAAGAGAACGCTTGTGTCGCTGTCGTCGCGCCGTCCCAACGCCTCGTTGTGGAAGCCTCAGAGGGCTGTCTGTAAAGCGGAAAAGGCAGCAGCCAAGCAACACCGCTGCTTCGACACCGCCATAATCACCAGGGGGGTAAAGGTGGGTGAGGAGGAGTGGCAAATCCCGTGCGCCGACACCCGGGGTCCCGAGTGAACGATCGCAAAAGAGAGCGACAGAACACGAGAGAAAGAAAGCAACGTTGCCATGGTAAACGCGAAGAGTGAAAACTCTCAGCAATATAAAGAGTGATAATTTAACGTTGTAAACTAAATTCTGGGCTATTCTAACGCTTATAAAAAGCAATAAAGTCATTACGCTGCATTAACTTCCTTTCTGTCGAAATCTCGGAAATCTGGTGGTTGCGCAGTTTCGTATTCCTCAACCGCGCCCACCCGCGCCCCACCGGCGAAGCCGGGTATATGGTTTAGTTTAACGTTAACGCGAGGCCGTACATCTGCGCGCTATGCAAAAACAAAGCTTCGAAAGGAACGCGAATATCTTTCCACCGGTAAGTTCGTGGATTGTTGAAGTTCACGAAACTGCTCTGATGATGTAACCGTGTTTGGGACCCCGAGGGTCTGCCTGCATGATCCGCCGCTTGCGGCAGCCAGAATGTATGGGAAAATGGCGGACCTTTTCCTCTAGAGTTAGTATGTATGATCTCTATGATAATCACGGCCGGCGAGAGCATGACACTTGTATGACGTCATCATGTGAAAATCGAGAGACCACTTTTTTTGGACGCGGTAAACACACCATTGGGAGACGCGCGTTCCGCACACCATAGTCGCACGAGGTCCTAAAAACGAGTCGTTCTGAACAATCTCGTGGTATCCTTGCATTCCAATCCAAGCACCTCGATATTGGGCCCCTCCAGTTCAGTTTTGTGGCGGTTCGAGGCCCCCTGCACCGCCGCTCCCGCTTTATTTCGCAATGGCGATCAACGTTCCCGGCCTGGTGGCCGTCCTCCTGTTCTACGTGGTCATTCTTTTGGTCGGAATTTGGGCCGCCCGCAAGGGATACGCGACAGCACCCAACCCTGCTTATGCAGACGCTGCCGGGTCCCACGCAATGCTCGCGGGCAGGAATATCAATCTCTTCGTGGGAGTCTTCACGATGACAGGTTAGTGGTACGCTGACTTTACAACCCCAAGGTGGGATTCAGTTAGGGAGTTACCATCACCCTAAGATGTTGTCGGTTAGGGTGTTGCCGACACATTAGCGAGTTTTAGAATAGGGGGTCCCACAGCTTTGGGTGCCCTAAACAGCTTGGGGCGTCCCACTGCGGATGCGCAGAACTTCTGCGCATGCCCACTGCGATGCCCCGAGTTGTTTGGGGCACCCAAAGCTTTGGGGCCCCCTATTCTAAAACTCACTACTAAGGTGGTACACGTCGCCGTACAACCATAAGGTGTTGTATACGGTGACATGTATACACGGCAACGACTTATTCACTGGTGGCCATATTTCTGTGTACTCCCGCTTAGAACGTGCTAACGGCGAGCTACACAGTTCTTCTGCAACGTGCTCTCCACACCATTAACATTACCGGTCTCAGCAGCCTACTAATGTGAGCCAGTTCAGAGCGTGCGCTCTGAACAGAGCCCTCAAATATGGCGTCCAGGGAATACTAAATTAACTGGATCATGGGAAAGTAGCACCAAGCTCCCCGTATAATCGGCATTCCGGCTCATGAATATAGCAGAGCCGTATATGTAGAGAGTTTGGTCAATGGGAGGTGCGGGCAGAGCTAGGGCGTGCGGTAGACTCGGAAAGAGGGCTTGGCATGCTCTCTTGACCAACCAGAAGGCGAAAAGAATCCCCTAGCGGTGGTAGCGAGAAACAGTTCTGAGCCGATCGATCATCGAAGGTCTTTGTTCGTATATGGTTTTAATAAGTGCGTAGGAGTGAAGTGTAGTAGCTCTTTGTGGTTGAAAATACGGTGCACGTGTTGTTTTCATCATGATCATGCAGAAAGATGTAAGAAACGAATGCGCCGCTCAACTCTGTTTTGCGCGGACAGAGTGTGACCACTCTGACGGCAGATTCCCGGCCCTTGGCGTTTGGCGTACGGATTATGTCGATCGTTCCGCTAGTCGCATTCTTCCGCCATCATTTTGGATGAGCGTGATTGAAACATCACGTGTACCATATTTTCAGCCATCGAGAGTTACTCCAATGCAGTTATCAGGTTTGTTTCTCGCGACCACCACCAGGGTATTATTTCCGGCTTCTGTTTGGTCACATTCGAATTTCTGAAGACGCCCTGGAACACGCCCAGCCCGCTTTCGGCCAATGGCGCCTCCTCATTTGTCTCCTATACTTCCCAACGAATGGCCAAACTCTCTACATATACGGCTCTGGAATATAGCAATTTATCCATGACCTCTATATTCTTGACGAGGTGACCTAAATTCGCTTTTGTCTGATATACCCCAGGAAAAAGCAACTGCGCATGCTCAGAAGGGGTTCCAGAGCCAAACCATAGCCTCCTCTCTACGGAGAAAGCCTGGCACATCGACGACGGAGCCATAGAGCGCGCGGCCGCAGGAAAAAGGAGAGGAGGAGCGCGCCGAACGGTGACCAATATGGTAGCGCAGAGCAGAAAGGGCAGACCTAGACAGCGAGCGCTTGGGCCATGAGCGGCCGCTCCCCGAACCACGCTTGTTTTTGTGTTTTCGTCACCGTCGTTTTCGTACTCCGGGAGAAACGGGCGCGGAGATTCGAAAGGGCACAGGGAGAAACGGGAAAGGGTGGACGTTGAGTTTCTCCTCTCCACGATAGCGACAAGAAAAGAGAGAGAAAAAGAAAGGATTGTTTCTGCGTTTGGCCGCTCGCTCTTTTGTGGCGCTAGCGGACAAGGTTCTCTCCGCTCCCGTTTCTCCGCCCCTCCTTTCCCATTTACGGCGGCCGTCTTTTCACGCGACGCGCCAGGCTTTCTCCGTATAGTTTATTGCCAAACAGACCAGCACGGTAGAGCCTATGAGGCGATTACTGGAATAGGCTTTTAGGTCGGTGACGTTCCGAATTTAAGCGCGAGACACATGCGCGAAAAATCCATCCGATCCGACGTCCGATCCGGCAATGCGACTGCCTGATCCGAAAAATTTGGTCGCTTCAGACGTCGGATCGGCGATCCGACGTGCGTCCAACGCGCCAGATAGTTTCGCACGGCGGACGGATTGTCGGATGCGTCCAGCCAATGACAGCACAGCTAGCGCGAACGTCATGATGACGCACTGAGTCTGGCGGGACGAAGCGAACGGCGAGGGGAAGCCGGAAGCGTGGATCCCGCTGACCTAGGGTGCCTTCATGTGCGCTCTGCTTAGGGTGGAGACATCTGGCCATTTTGTCTCACACTTTTATTTTTATTTTTTGTTCAGAAGCGCGTGAAAGAGCGTGTTCCTGCACGCGTTTGTGGCGCTGACTGTGCTATGGCGACATTTTGTTTTCGTCGATTTCTTTGTATTTTCCCCGTGAGCGCGTGCTGTCGGCATCGGGTACTAAAAAGGGTGGCATCACCCTAAACAGAAGGACATTGAGGCACCCTACGCTGACCCATTCGAGAAATATGGCTTCGGCAAAGAATGCACGCGCTAACGAGAACGAGCTTCTAACTTCGCTCGTGTGAGCGAAACCGTCAATCTAGGACCAGAGATCTGTGAACGCGGCCCTCCGCTGGAGTGCTTGGATCTCCTGGGCGGAGCCGAACGGGTAGTCGTGTCGCGTGCAAGTTCGGAAGCGTGTGTCTCAAACTGTCGCGTGCGGCGATTCGGAGCGGCGTTCGTACTGTCGGATCAGACGTCGGATCGGACGATTCTGCCGTCCATGTGTCTCGCGCTTTACGCGCTAAGTTCGTCGCAGACGCGTGATAAACCGGTTTGAGACATATGTCATTCTATCTGAAGGATCTACACGCTGTGCCATGAAATTGTTAAAAAAAAATATGGCGTCGTATTCATTGACTCGTTGCAACGTCCTTCTTGCAGCAACCTGGGTTGGCGGAGGTTACATTAACGGCACATCCGAGCTTGTCTACACGGCCGGGCTTGTTTGGACTCAAGCCCCCTTTGGCTACGCACTCAGCCTGGTTATCGGTAAGCATTGCCCATCTGTCGCGTTCAAAATCTCTGAAACTTTGATTTCTTCTATTATTGTCTTTAGTCACGAATATACCGGCTGTTTAGAAGGAAAAAGAGCCCTGTCTTTCTCACCTCAAAGCAAAAACTATACACTTCTCCCAGACGCCAAGTTTCCGCCTAAAAGGCAGCTCTAACGGCAGCTCCATCATTCCAAGGTTTCGAAACTCACCATTATGGGATTCAAAAGTTGCGAGCGATTTTAGAAAACTTTCGATGCGAAAATAGCGGACAGCGAAGCCCCCAAACACATAAAGATGAATGGCGTCTTTTTAGCAGAAACGGGTACCCTATTTACCCGTTGAAAACAGAAAAAAAAAAAAAGCTTTTATAAATGTTTTGTTTTCATTGTTTTTCCGATAACGGTATGCTTTGAAATGCTGTCATCTGGTACAGACCACTAGCGCTCCATTTGGGCGGAAACAATATGTTCAAAAAAAAACTTTTTTTTTTTTTTTTTGTTATGAGAGAAACAGGGTCCTCTTTCCTCCCGAGAACACGTACGCGCTGCTTTAAAGTGGAAATTTTTATGCTTGACTCAAAATTGGTTTTGCAGAATAATAGAGAGACCTAAATAAGTGACCCAAATTATGTCCCAAAATTTGTTCTTTCGCAACTTTATTGAATTTCCACATGTGTTCTGAGAGGGTGAGAATCTCTGCTGGCAACACCGAAGACGTAACGTCAAATGTGGCAATAGTTTCCGGCGGGTTACAAGAAGTTGATGATGTGAAATGTAGGCTAAAGCTCACACCAGCAAAAAAGAAAAAAAAAGACAAACTGTTTTGTTGCTTTTTTTAGACTGCCCGCTCGACTTTTCAAGTTAAACAGTGACGTGTCCCCCCCCCCCCCCCCCCCCCCCCCCCCCCGGGTAGGGCGCGTGAAAGCGTTTTTTTCAGGCACAGCCTTCAGTCAGTCAAATTCCGTTGCCATGGAATTTTTTCAGCTCTCAAACTGTTTGCTGCTGAAAAATAACTTTGAAGAACGCTCTAATTCTACTTTTGCTTGTTTTCACGTTAACATAAGAAATATTCGGAAATACTGGGAACAATTTATGGTTATTGTGCGAGAGCTTGATTCGGTTATGGATGCATTCATTATAACCGAAATTAACATTAGGGAAGACAGAGAAACTCTGTTTTGTATTCTAGGACATGAACGTCTTACGGTTCCAAGACCATCTGGTACGGGAGGAGGAACATCCGCTTACGTCAAGTAATGGCTGGTGCACGACTCCGATTACGATAACGATGACCCATTCTGAGCACATGAGTCTGCAGATTAGCCGTCATGATTTTTCCGTCATTCCGATCGCAATATATCGACCCCCAGCAAATAATGTGAACTTGTTTTTAAAAGAATTTGATAAAGCCCTATTACAATCTAGTCCGATAAATCAGTTGTGTTTGGCCGGCGACTTTAATATAAATACGCTAGATTCCTTACGCCCAACTGTTGTGATTATTTAAATTTAATGTCAACCTACGGCATCGAAACCGCTATACAGGCTCCGACCCGAGAAGAATTTTTGGACAACAGTTTAGTGTCTTCATGTATCGACCACATAAATCTTCGTGTTTTCGAGAGTACTGTGAAAGCATCGGTTAGATCGGGAAAATTAGCAGATCACTATTTTATAGCGTGCCAGATAATGTCAAAAAACAAGGAAAAGAGAGCTGATGAAACTAAAAAAACAATAACAATAACCGATGTAGCTAAATTTGATCAAATGGTTGGCAACTATAACTGTGATGGCCTTTTACCTTCGATTGAAGGATCAAAAGTGTACGATAAGTTCATAGAATTATTTTCGCAATTCTCGGGCACGTGTAAAAAAACAGTAGTTATTAAAAGGCGTAATCCGGACTATGTATGGCTCACACCAGAGGTGTTGGCAGCTATAAATTACAAAGATTATCTTAGGAAACGATGTAAACGCTCGCCGACCAATATTGCGCTTAAAGACGAGTTTGAAATCGCCAGGAACAAAGCATGTGCCCTAGCTCGATCGGCTAGGCTTCGACACAGCCAAAAACTTGGGAGCTGACAAATCAGATTCGGGGTGCAACAAAAAAAAGCGCTCAATTGACGAAATGATCGAAAAGTCCTTTGCACCCGTGACACAGAAAACTATTGATGATTTCAACTACTTCTCAAAATGTTTAACGACATCATTGAGTAGGGAGACTGGCCTATAGCAATGAAAACTGCCGTTGTTCGACCACTGTACAAAGGAGGCGCAACTAATGACTTAAAAAACTATCACCCCATATCAATACTGTCCTGCCTTGCGCAGGTGCTAAAAAAACATATCTTAAAAACAATGAGTAGTTTTGTAGAACGTTTTGGTTTATTGTCTGATAATCAGTGCGGCTTTATAGCGGAGCGGGGAGTGCAGGCTTTGTGGGAAGATTTCAGTGACTGCTTGCACACGGGCTTCGATAAGAGTCTTGTCACTCTTACGCTGTGTTCTTGTATCGAAAGCGTTGAACAGCATTAACCATGATACTCTTTGTAAACTATACAAATTAGGATTTAGGGGTTCATTTTTTTCACTTTTAAAAAAGTATCTTTCAGGACGATCCCATGCAGCACCATTTAAATCTCAAAAGAGTAGTAGAACACTCTTAACGGCAGGGGTACCGAGGCTTTGTGTTATCTCCTTTGCTTTTTAATTTATGTGTAAACGATCTCCAAAGTGTTGTCTCAGTTTTCAGAGAAGTTCAATATGCATATGATACGGTTTTAGTCTCCTGGTGATGCGGATTATCATGTGGCGATTCAAAAACTCCAGAATGACCTTGTTTATTCTATGGACTGGTTTCAATCTAATCTTATCAAAGTGAATGCTGTAAAGACCAAACTGGTCTGTTTTAAAAACCTGCTTACGCAAGTCGCACTTTCAGTTCCGATATGGCACTACACAATTCTAAATGCAGATCGTGCAATTTTGAAAGTCTTGAATACGTACAAACGGTCAAATATCTCGGAATATATTTCGACAGTGATTTGGCCTGGAACACATACATGGCACACTTATGCAAAAGATTAAGAAGCGTGTCATGCTCTCTCTATAATATTAAAATGTTTCTTCCTTTCTCCGTTCGTAAAACTTTAGCGCATGCTCTCTCGTATAGTTATTTACGATATAATATAACCCTTTTTTCAGGATGCTCTCTTTCTTGGCGCAACAGAATTAATTCCTTACAGAAAAGTGTTTTGAAAAGTGTTTCTTCCGGTAGGCAAGATACCACGAGTGACAGTATATTTAATAAACTCAATTTGCCGTCCTTTATGTTTTTTTTTTTTGTTTTTTTTTTTTTAAAGAAACGGTGGTCCTCCGACATTTATAGACCTCTGATTTCAAAACGCCCTACATTCAGCAGCGTCCTATGAGGCCATCACTTAGATTTGATATACCCCGTATCAGGACCAAATATGGTGAGCGAACAGGGATATATTATGTACCACAAATTTTGAACAACCTGCCTGATAATATAATGAATTTAACGTCAAAACAAAAGCTAAGAAATCACTTAAAAATCTCGAACAGTGAAATAACGTTCCAGTTGTCTTTTTTGCCTTTCGAATTTTTTTCTTTTTTCTTTTTTTCTTTTTTTTTTTTTTTGTTGTTGTTGTTTTACGCGACATGCCTGCATCTCTGAGATCTCAGTGTTATCATTGTTAATCTACCTATGGTCCAGTTCTATTGGCACTTTATGGATAATATTGTTTTGCTAGAGTGCAATTTTTTTTTCCCCTTTGTTGTTTACTTTGTCAACTGCCGAGCCAGGCACACAAGCCCCCGAGGCTTCACCCGGCTCGTTAATGTGTTTTTTTTTTTTTTGTAAACTTACGTGACAAATAAAAACAATGTTCAATGTTCAATATTCCCCGTTTTCTCAAATAGCCATCTTGAATTTAGAGATAGCAAGCCAGGAAGAGCAAGAACCTGTGTATTCCGAAAATGTGATTTAGGTTTGGTATATCAAGAAACCGCCCGGGCTCCCCTTTCCAAGCAAGGACCTCGATGTGTGCAGGCGGCTACCTCTTTGCCACCAGGATGCGCCAGGCCGGCTACAGGACGATGCTGGACCCGTTCCAGGAGCACTTCGGAAGCCGGATGGGCGGACTCCTCTTCCTTCCCGCCCTCTGCGGAGAGGTCTTCTGGTCGGCCGCCATCTTGGCTGCTCTGGGTCCGTCTTTTCATGCCGTTCCAATTAGAAACCCTCTATAATCACACAGATCTTAAGAAACGAAACTCATGATGGCTCCGCAGCCAATGAGATCGCGTTATTAGCTGATAAGAACGCCGATAAACAAATCGCGAAGCGAACATGAAGCGGAGCGCAAATTCGTCTGCTCCTTGCGAAGGGGTTGCAGCGGCGTCAAAACGCTGAGCTCCGATTGGCTCTGATTGGAAGGATAGTGGGTAGAGCTCAATGCTAGCTGCCTTGAGGTCTACCCACTATCCTTCCAATCAGAGTCAACCAGAGCGTGGCGAGCTCCGAAGTCATGGCAAATCTGCGCAAGAGGCAGACGAATTTGCGCTCCGCATACGCCACGATCTGCGATTCTTTAAGCTGTCTTTGACCAGTCTGTTGAACCGGAACCGAACCGTTAATAGGGAGTTTTCGTAGACCGCGCTACCCCCTCCGCTAAGCGTTCCGCAACGAAGAAGTCGCTACTGCGCCTGCGCGCCGATAGCCTTGACTGTGGAGTTCCCGCTATCGTAGCGGATTGCGGAGGGCCTTGCGGGACTGCGAAAACGATCTACGAAAACTCCCTATTTTTGGCCGAACCGGAACTGAACCGAACCGAAATCTTCGCCGCCAACTTGGAACTGAACCGGAACTAGACCGGGAAAAAATATAACGGCAACCGGTTCAAAACGGTTCACGGTAATTTGTGTTTTAGAGCGCAGCTTTTAGGCACCCTCTTCCGCGTTGAGCGGCGTCGACGTAACCGCGCGCGTTGCATTATGGGACGTCACAGTTCCCCGCTAAATTTAGCAGGGAAACTGAATTGGTTTGGAGGTTATGTGACGACAGTTTTGCCACTAAACATAGCGGGGAAATTGAATGCCCAGTCTTGCATTATGGGACTTCACAGTACTACACACCAATTCAGTTTCCACGCGAAATTTAGCGGGGAATGAAATTGGTGTTGAGGTCACGTGAAGTCCCTATCGAAACACCGAAATTCAAGAGACCGAATTATGAAAAGGCCGAACGTCAGTACGCCGAAAAATTTAAATGCCGGAAAATCAAAATGCCGAATCATCAAAATGCCGAAAAGACATAACGCCGAAAACCACGTGAAAAATAAATGACGCGCTTTGTGACTACCACTTGTTCGTTTTCCGCCAGATCACTTTCCACTGACACGAGCCTGTATAACTCGTTCTGCAAAGGCACCATGTATCAATAAATTAAACTAATGTAAATATTCGTGCTCTTTTTTTGTGTTTTTTTTTATTTGTCGTTATGCTACGCATATCAGAGCTCTTATTGGTCACAAGGAAAAAAAACAGCGCTGCCCAGCGCTCAGAGTACAAGAGCAGCAGCCATGTACAGCAGTAATCATTTCATTGACTCCGAGGGAAATGGACGGAGACGCGGCAGTGTCGTGCTCCCAGAAGGGAAAAGCAAAACTTAGCTGCAAAGACGGTTATGTTTACGTGCTTGACAAGAAAGTAGGTTCTAGACACTATTGGAGGCACGAGAAGCGAGGCGAAGGCAACGCTAAAGTGATTACCGACCTTCCTGTAGAAGGTACCATTCAGGGATAGGCAAAATACATGCAAATATGTATCAAAATACGAATACAAAATACTTCATAAAAAATGTATTTAATTACAAATCTAATTACATTTCCAAAAAAGCATTTAAAGGAGCTACGCAACAATTTTTGTACTTTGTGCAAATACCGCTTAAAACGGATCCCTAACGTTAATGACCTATGAAACACGCGTTCGTTTTTCACCCCACGCAATAGAAGTCCCAGAAAAAAATTAAAGAAAAACGAGCAGCGTTCACCCCCTCAACTCGCAGCCAGAACAAGCGGCCACGTGATCTGGAGCCGATTATATGCCGCCAGTGTTGATCATAGCCACGCGCTGGGGTTGGCAAAGCGCAGGACACGCGCTGAGTTCCAGACATTGTTATGGCTCGGCTGTTGTCGTCGTTGCAGCGATTGGACACGGGTCACAACCCGAATGCTTCTCGAGCTAGCAATTGTCACGAGCCCAAGTCGATTGCCCACGCAATGCTCGGGTCCAATCTATGAACCGCATTCAAATATCGTCACTTGGGTGTACTGCGATCCCCGAGTTACGTCATCAAATTTTGCAAAGGAGAGATTGAATGAAAATGATCGTTTTTGTCCTTGAAATTACACCGCAACAAAGGAGTTTCTGGGCCAATGGCGTTGCGTGTGAGTATCCTTGAGTCCCAGGTGTGCCAGTAAGCTCGTGTAGAGAGAAAGACATCCCAATTGAATATCGTTGCACAGCTCCTTTAAGTACAAGATACAAATACAACCAAATGTATTTGGTCTCCTCCAAATACTTTTCCAAATACATTCCTCGAAATTTGCGTCAGTGACTTTAGGGCACCTGCAACGGGTTTCTGGGTATCTCATATTAATTTTGCATCGCACACACGGGAGTTAGTGTGCGATAGTAACGTAATAGAAATATAATCACAAAAAAAAATGCAATCAGCTTGGACGTAAAAGGTGAAAAAAGTACAGAGGCCAGATTCATAAAAACCCTCTTACCTACGACAACTTAGCTACGAAGTTCGTAAAGTTACGATCATCGTAAGATGAGGCGAGAACGGTATTTACAAACGCGTTCTTAAGTGAGAGGAGGGAAGTTACGACCTCTTACGGAGAAACGATGACTTCCGGTGCTGTTGCTATGGCAACGGCGTCTTCGGCAAAACGAACAACCAAGTAGAGAGCTTGGCATAGTTCGGAGCACGTGGATTTTTAATAACAAACACAGGCTAACCACTCGTTGATAGACAGCTCTGTGTATGTCCTGTCCTGTCTGTGTGTAAATGTGTAGTGTTCAAGCTGATTCTCATAAACACGGGCGACCTTTCCACCACCGCTTGTCCGTGCAGTGGTATATCGACGCTAACACGATTTAAACGCTTCGTTGACTGCTACAAACTCGATCGCTACGAAGTCAACACAACTGTCATCGTTGGTAAAAGCCCCGTGCCAGTCGTTTGCAGAGTGACGTAGAAGGAAACAAACCGCCGCGGCGTTTCTCGCGGCCTCGGAAATGTAGGAGTGAGCCGACGTTAAAAAAGATACGTTTGAACTAGGAGAGTGTCAGCAATAGTCACGCAAATACCTGTTTCTCACTCGGAGCGGACGCGTGCGTTTGATCGAAGTGCTGGATTCAGACTGCGTTTCGGTAAGCGCTTCGGGACCGATCTTCTACGATTGCAACTCGATACTGACGTGACACTCGGCAAAGAAAGGTTGGACCGGCATCACGTAGCTCCCACAAACTGATACAGCTCGACAGTTAAAAATGGCATACTAATAACAAAGTGTACATACCGTGTTGTGAAGGTAATCCATACGGCGTTTATTTGAGCTGTATATCACACAAAACAAGGAGATAGAATCGAGGAGTCCCTTTTCGACGACAGCGTTCGTCACCGCTGCCTCGGAAAACAAGGTGATCGAGATGATAAGGGGAATCGGTTGACCTCTGAAATTTAGTTCAGCTATCAAACTATTCATACGGGGAGGGTCCACAAGGGTCGCGCGGGCATATTCCATTCAGCAAGCCAGCCGGTCGTGGGCAGACGGTCTTGGCCAAGGACCGTCTGAGCAATGCTGCGCCGGAACGGGTCGGAGTGCCTGCTAGGCCTATATATTCTGCCGAGCTCGCTTGGTCGGTGGGATCGTCGCCTTTGTTGCCTTTTCCGGGTGTCTGTGGATCCAGCGTTCATGTTCGTCGTGGACGGTTTCAAGTACTTCTTCATTTTTTTCTTGCTGCTTGAAGTCGGGACGCGCAAGAAGAGCAGGTAGAAAAATAAATGTCCGTTGGGTCGCGACCGAGCAACTGAGCGACGTTGTCGGCCATGTTAATTTGATCGTAGAAAGTGCGTAAGACAGCTTCGGAGCTGTCGTAGGATTTTGTCGTAACCTGCGCAAAAGCTACGACAATTTTGTTTCGAGAATACGGATTTTCTCTCAAATTTGTTGTACGCATTTTTTTCGTCGTAAGTTCGCTTTGAGAATCCGGCCTCAGAGCTTCAAGGAGCCTTTTTTGTCGATTACATCTTGGTATAGACCAACAAAGAACCGAGACGACCAAGACGCGCAGCACTAGCTAGAGAATCTTCGATTGTTGCAACTTGCACCAGTTACGAAAATCTAGACGACCCGCGCATTTAGAATGTTCCAGGCGAAAATGCGGATGGAAATCAGGCTGGAAAGCATCACAAGTTGTCACAGGCACTTATTAGCCAGTCTGCCTGTGAACGTCGATTTCGTCACTATTCTTGCCCTGGACTAGCACCGTAATCACAAAGTCACTAAACGCTTGTGCTTGATTGAGAGACACTGCATACGGTACAGAACGTAGTTTTCTTCCTGCTCTGGACAGTGACAATAAATTTGAGGGATGTATTTTCGCCCACAAAATTGTATTTAATTACAATTGTATTTGAAATACCCACATTTTAGTGTTTAATACATACGTCAAATACATTACACAATTTGTAATTAAATACAAATGCAAAATACACAAAGTATTTTAAATACTGCCCATCTCTGGTACCATTGAGTACCTTCTACAGGAAGGTCGACAATCACTCTAGCATTGCATTCGCCTCGCTTCTCGCGCCTCCAATAGTGTCTAGAACCTACTTTCTTGTCAAGCAGGTAAACATAACCGTCTTTGCAGCTAAGTTTTGCTTTTTCCTTCTGGGAGCACGCCACAACCGCGTCTCCGTCCATTTCCCTCATCTCGAAGACAGTGACCCACGCAAGCCATGATCCGGATATCTGAGTTACAGTTCTTCGTACTCAAGAACGGATCAAAGCTCTGGCGGCGGCCTTGGGCGAGTCACAAATACACAATTCACGGTTATCCTCATGGCCATGTGTTCACTTTTGTTTACTGCCTAATGACTCGACGAACCCAGATGGCGTACGAGGCGCTCTT